AGTCAAACTGTTAAAAAATAAATAATATAAATGAAATATGTTGCACGATTATTGATAACTAATGGCTTTTGCTACTTCATCCGCGAGGAGTCTGAACTTTCTTTACAGTTTTCTTGAAGGATAATTATGTGTTTCTAATTTTTATATTTTTTAAAATGTCTGGATGAAATTCAATTTAATAGGTAAGTAAACAGTTTAGATACCCGTTTTTACTCCTTTGGAGGAAGAATATTGAAAAATTTATTTATTAGTAGGTGTTTACATTACAAAAGGACTCAACACTCAATTTTACGTTTCTGAATTTTGAGATTTCAGATTAACAATACAAATAGGTCAGTCAGGGCATGTTAATTTATATTGTAAAATTAGTAATAAGATTTGACCCTTGAGAACCCTAATTGTGAACATAAATCTGGTTATTCTGAAATTGGTTCTCCAAAATGGACTAACAATTATTAGGTATAATGGAAACTATTGAGTCATCTCTTGTGGTGGTTCCTTGTGAGTCAATTGAAGAGAAAGTACAACAATCGATATTGAATTCCATTAAATTAAATACCGGACAATGACGCCAAACGTCACTAATAATTATTTAATAAGTATAATAAAAATTCTCCCTAATGAAAATTGATAATTAAGATTGTATTGGGATATGTCGTTTTTCTTAATTTGTATTGTTTATTGATTACTATACTAAATTATTTCGTATTTCAATATAGTTCATTATCATAAGGTTGTCAGTCCTCAGACTAGTTGGACACGCACCTCCACTTTTTCCCTATCATGAGCTAATCTTCGCATTTCCCTAAAACTAGAACAATCCGCAATCCTTAACTATTTGCGAATAGTAATCTAATCTAGGTCTACCTCTACTCCTCCTAACTTCCGTTTCTGCCTCTAATATGTCTCTGACTAGACCTTCATGCCTGAGAAGGTGTCCTACCAACTTATCTCGCCTATTTCTTCTTGACTTCCATAGAGTCCTCTATTCTCCTATTATTTCTAATACCTCTTCATTTCTAGCCTTCTCTATCCACGGTATATTCGCCTATAACACCACATTTGGAACGCTTCTAACCTTTTCTTGTGTTTACTTTTTCTGGTGGACAAGAATACATCAGTAGTATATAATTTATTAATATAATTTTATTACCCTGTAAACTTTTACCATTTATAAACATTGTAGACTCGGTAGACTCAACCTTTCCGTTGAAAATCTACTAACCAAGAATTAAAATTTCATTGTTTTAGTGTTTAAACGACTTTTTGTGGTTTCGGACCTTCGTGAGAACAGCAAGCTGGTCAGAACGAAAACATGAGTCATTAACAGTAGTGTTTTTTAGGGTACCCGGCAAAATTACGATCTGGTGGTAAATCCCTAAGAAAAAGTGTCAATTTATTAATTGAAAATATTTTTCACACTGATGTGTTATTATCATTATTACGTCAGCCATATAAGTTTCGAATTTTGTTTAATTTCTTTAATATTTTTATTATATAAGTTTCAATATAATCTTTAACAGTTGACGTCGTCAGCAAAAGTGGAACGTTGGTTTGAAACGATCGATCATCTGCCGATCTCACGTCCGGAAAGCGGTTTCGTGTCGAATCAGGATCAGGATCATGACGATTTCGACGAATACGAAGACGAAGAACGTGCCATTATTGAAGGAACGAGATCTCTCTTATCGAAACTTAGTATTAAAAAGCAACGTAAATTACTCGGCCTTAAGTTTGGCAAAGTTACAACGTTTTAATTATAATTGTGTAATTAATTCATAATGTTTAATGAAGATGGAATTAAGATTATTTAATAGAAAGTTTTCTGTAAAGCCCCTTCATACATTCCACAGTAAATCATTTAATATCTAATTCATTTTAATTTCAAATTAGAGCAAAACTGAAGGCTTCATCGGAATGCACAGAGCCTCTTATGTTTCATCAAAATTGCCAGCAATCTAATCATTTCGTTTACAATACATTCTTATGTATACTTTCTTCCCAACAAGAGAAAGATAATTTCTTCCATCATAATCGTAATCAATTGTTAGTACCTATACATTCGTATTTGATAAATAAGTTTTTAATAGATTGGAAAGTATTGTAGTATTACAAGTTCCAAAGTTAGTATAAGTTTTTTACCTTCAATGCAATTACTTGATTTATCGAAGGTGCAAAAAAGAAACGGCGACAAGAAACTTCCGCGTTATTAAAACTGAGTCAGTGAATAAATAAATATTAAAACAATAGGAAAATAAGGACCTTTGAAAAAGAGGAAAGGTGATGGGAATCTCCCAGGCCCGGACTTAATTCAGGTCTGAAGGTCATCGTCAGTTGCAGTTGCTTCTTGGAATCAGTTGGATTTTCATCAAAGGTCCTTCCATCTCTGATGCTTGATTTAGACAGTTCTTATCCACCTCTGATGCTGGACAGTTTACATCCAGGATCTGAAAGGACCTCTGAAGAAGTCATTCGTGTTAGCGAAACGCTAGAAAGCAATTCCAACCGATAACAGCCTTTAGACCCCAATCAGGTTAACACCAGTTTAATGTTTGTTTTTCATTTCACCATGAGCTTTCATATTTTATATGCATGCAGTCACGGCCGGGCCCGCAATTTCTCTCTACGACCCAGAAAACATTTCCTGGGTGTAAATATCGTGGATAGTTTTGTCGTCGAACCAAACAAACATACCCAAAGAAAAGGAAATAGGCTTTCGCGTATTTATTTTTCAGATTTAATAACATAAGAAACGATTTAAAACTGGGTGAAATTATAATGTGCAAAGTTAATAAATTAATAAGAAAAAGATAATAAATAAGTTTCAGCACCTTTTAACAAAAAGTACAAATTTATAAGCTCATTTTTAAAATTATACAGTAGAAAACTATTTCCTGAAGACTATTTTCCTATTTACTATTTTTTAATGGAGGAATTAGAGACAGTAGATATTTTCTTTTTGAATAATTTTCAACACCGAATTAAAATTATGTATACAAAATGCTCTAGTATGTCAAGATATTGAGCTATTTTGACCAAAAGGCTAAAAATTGTCAATCTAACAAGTCCACGCATTAATTAGTCAATAATTGTTGAGAATTTAAAAGAGTAGAGTTTTTCTGATAAATCATTTTGAAACTCATTATCAATTAATTAAATTGAGTTGAGGTAAAGTAATTAGATCCTTTTGCTGAAATGGAACATTTCATAATTAACTTAATGTTAATTACGATTATGTTACTATAAAATTGACAAATCTAACGTCTTCATAATATTCTTTTAAAGAATAATTAACTATAATGTTCGATCTTTATAATCTCTATAATTTGCACATTATACGTTTCATCATACTAACTACCCCTAAATTTAACAATAAATAGGTGCATATCTGTGGGAAGTCCAGAAACCACAGTGCTATTATAACAATTCGTATGACTAAGGTAATCAATCATTATAATAAGTTTAAATAAATTATCCAAGTAATCATTAGCTTTCCATTCGGTCAGGAAATGTATTTTAATTAATTTGATAGATAAATAATAGGAAATAAATAAATGTTAGTAATAAAAGAATACACCAGTGCGTTATTGTAATCACGACTGATTTTTTTATACCTATAAATTTTACAAAATAAAATGTGAAAACAAATTATGATTGATTTAATTACGAATTGAATGTTTCCCGATTCCAAAGTATCTGTTGATGGTTAATATTGAAATTTACGTAAAAAAATGTGAACAAACATGAGGGCATGCTTGGAGAAAATTCGAAAAGTGACCGATGTTGATCAAAGTGTAAGTATTAGTTACCTTAGATCACGCATTAAAATGCAGGTACATATTTTGGCAGTTTTAACTCATGTTGGAACAAAAAAATTAAAAGTTTCAAAATCGAATTGAGTTTATCCTTTGGAAAATCTAATAAAGTACAAAGAAATCCTCAGTACAATTTTTTAAGAGACTTGAAAAAATATGCCAAAAGGCATAACATATAGCGAAACTAGGAGGGTGGAGGGAGGTAAAGTAACCTGTGTACCACGGGGGGCGGAGGGGTAAGGTCGGAATGAATTAATTATGCGTTAGATATGTAATTTTTGACATCCCTTTTGATACAATCTGACCCGAGCTTGGGAAAAAACCTAATAAGACGCTCCTGAACGTTGGAAAGGGGAGGGATGTAAAGCAAGACACTACGAAACGATATAAGGGTGGAAGGGGGTTCTAATATCTTGATGAGGAGCGTTAACTGTTATTTGAACAGACCCTTAGATACCTACGTGTTAGATACTTACTATTAGATTAATTATAATCTCTAACTACTATAAAATGTACAAAACCTTATGACATTTTTAATTACTAATAGTGTTTAATATGCAATATTAATTTGAAATCATTTTCGATTTTTTATCCACTACAAACTTCCTCAAGTTAATGAGGAATAGTATTTTTGTTGCTGTTGTCACACGGTAGTGGATAAAAAATCGAAAATTATTTCAAATTAATATCGCATATTTACCATTATTAGTACTTAAAAATGTTATAGGGTTTCATATATTTAGTAGATATACAATTAAGTTAATAAAAAATCTGTAACCTCGTAGGCTCGGTTTGTCGTGATTGCCGTTGTCATCTGTCGTAGCTTAGTGGTGAGAGCATTGGTACGTGACGCCAAAGGTCCCGGGTTCGATTCCCGGCGGGGATATGACAACAGCAACAGAAACACTTTTCCTCAATGACTTGAGGAAGCTTGTAGTGGATGAAAAATCGAAAATGATTTCAAATTAATGTTCAAATGTACAAGGTTTCAGTTTGATGCCCTTTTCCCATTCCAGGAAGGCTTAATAATGACGAGACATAACGGTACCATAAAGGGTTC